GCCTCCATCTCCACCCCACTGGACCTCCAATTCCACTCCAACCGTTCACTCCTTAAACACTGGCGATCTCACCCTCCTGTCACCTCTGGCCTGCCACAGCCATTCTCACTAACCAGCGGTGACACCGAGAGGTCTCTTCTGTGCTGTCACCTGCTGTATGGGCACCAGAGCCTGCACTCTTCCCACTGGCCTTGGCTTTGGGTTATCCTGGTCTTCCTTCTTGCCATTCCCTCTGTCCCTAACACAGGACAGCACCCGTCTCATGTCAACAACTGTTTCAAGGACTACGAGAGGGCCTTCAATAAGTTCATGGAAAATGAGTATTATGAAAACTATGCATGGATTTCAAAATTCTTTTACTCCAAAACAAACTCATACTCCAATTCCATTTTTCCACAAACAACCTTCTGGGGCTTTGCCATATGATGTGTGTGCTCACTGGAAAGGGATGGAGAGAGAAAGTGAGAAGATCACCCCCCCGTGGGACAGGCCACATTGCGGTCCTTCTCCTCCATGCTCTTCTCGGGGCCCTGGGCACGCAGGCACACGTTCCAGAGTGATTGTCAAGTCGCTGAGTCCAGAATTCAAACCAGGGTTGGCCCCATATGGGATCTAGCACCTTCACCACCACGCCCCCTTTCTGCACGCCTTTGGAAGTCCCCTCGTGCAAAAAACAAGACAGGAGAAGCTGGTTTCCTGGGCATGTGGTCCTGGAATTGCCATGTGCTTTTCATACTTACAACTGCCCTGCAGCTAAGTCGGTCTGCCCGTTTACAGAGTGATCAACATTGGGAACCAGCAGTTAGCGTAATGGCTATGTCGCTGGACTCCCACGTAGTCGACCGCGGTTCGCGTCTCGGACCCGGTCGAAAACCGCGCCAGAGTGATCAACATTAATAACACCCCAAGTTTAGCTGTGGGAACGACCCCCGCAATAGCCACGGCACAATCGGGTAAGCTCACAGTTGACGAGATGCCAAGAGCCATGGAGAACCACGCTGGCATTTCAGAGCAGGGGTGGCAGGCAGAGAGCCCAGCAGAATGGGTGTCACATGTGAGGAATAGCTTCTAACAGGAGTAGCTGCTCATTGCTTTGGGAGTAAATGAATCCATGTCTGCAAAGCGCGTAGCAGGGTGCCCGGCCCCGTACACGGCCTACAAGGATGCCCGGTGAGAAACAAGCAAAGGTCACTGTGGCCGACCTGGAGGTGCCCAGAGGATGAGGGGAAGGTGGGCAGGGGCTGGCTTATAAGGAACCGGCGTAGCGGGGTGCCCGGCCCCGTACACGGCCTACAAGGATGCCCGGTGAGAAACAAGCAAAGGTCAGTGTGGCCGACTCGGAGGTGCCCAGAGGATGAGGGGAAGGTGGGCAGGGGCTGGCTTATAAGGAACCTGGGGCTGGTGTTCGGGGTCTGGGCAGGCAGGGCCACCGCACTGCTCCTGGGGACTG